CTTGGTTTGGACAAAATTTAAAATAGAGGAGGTTGAGGGGAAGGGTAAGAGAGCCATTTGTAAAAAATGCAGGAGTGACTTTAACTACAGTAGTAGTGCTGGGTACTAGCCACTTGGGTAGACATTTGAGACACCATATGATGAAAGAAGAAGAAGGGAACATCACAAGCACTAATAGGAAGTGAGATTTTTGATATTTTTAAATATTCTCAAGAAAATAATGAGGCAAGAGTTAGCAAAATATATTGTGCATACTGAACATCCATTTTTTAGTTGAATATACTAAACATGAAAATTTTTTATGTAGATCTATAAATCCACAATTTAAAAAAGTTTCTAGAAATATTATTAGAATAGATGCTTTAAGATTTTTTATTCATGTAAAAAAATTAATTTCTATGTTCTTAAATCTTAATTCTAAAGTTGCAATTACTTCTGATATTTGGACATCTAGATTTAATATAAGTTATATTTGTGTTACTAGTCATTTTATTAATGAAAAACAGTTTTTACATAAAAGAATTTTAAGTTTTACTAGGTTTGAACAGCCACATACTGGCCTAATTATTGCTGCAAGTATTTTAAATACTTTACATATTTATGGAATTGAAAATATTTTTTTTTCTATTAGTTTTGATAATGCTACTAATAATAATTCAATAATAAATATTTTAAAATCTCAATTAAAACTATGTTTAAATGGTAGATTATTTAATAATAGATGTGCATGTCACATCTTAAATTTATGTATTCAAGATGCTTTAAATATTATTTTTCAACATATTTCTAAAATTAGAAATTGTATAATATACACTAAAAGTTCTAGAGCAAGAAAAAAAAGAATTTAAATATTTATGTCAAAATTATGGTTTAAAATATAAAATTTTTTTATTATATGTTTAACATAGACAGAATTCTATCTATTCTATGTTAGAAAGTTGTATTGCTTTCAAAAAAAACTTATTGATTTTTATAATGCAAAAATTCCACACGATATTATACTTGATGAAGAATAGGAAATGGTAATTTGTATAAAAGATTTTTTACAAATTTTTTATGATTCAACTAATGAATTTTCAGGTGTTTATTACTCAACTAGTTGTCTTTTAGTTAATCCATTACTTATTGATTAGTGAATATTTTGCAAAATATAGGAGAAATCCACAATTTCAAAGTATTATTGAAATAATGGAAAATAAATTTAAAAAATATTAGGAGAAAATTTTTCCCTTTATTGCCTAGATACAATATTAGATCCTAGGATTAGGAAAGATGGTTTAAAAATTTTACTTGAATCATATTGTGAAAATATGAATATTGAAATTGTAAATAAAAAAGAAGTTAATAGTTTATTATTTGAAATGTATAGTTTATATGAATCTCAAATGGTATGGCATAGAAAATCTTGTACAGGTGCAAGTTCCACTTCTGAAACAGTTAGTTCCAGTAGTGGAAAAGACAAAATTCAGTCTCTAATAAATAAGAGGCAGAAATCTATTACCACTTCATCAACAAGTTCATTTACTGAACTTAATTTTATTTACAAGCAAGTATTTCTACTTTAGTTGATTTATTTGACTCGAAGGAATGAGATAAATTTGATATTTTAGCTTGGTGGAGACGACATGAAAAAACTATTTAGCCCTTGTCGCCATGACATGTGATCTACTAACCCCTTTGGTGTCTACAGTTCCATTGGAGTCTTGTTTTCTAGGGTCTTGGACGGCAAGATAAGTTGCATGAATGATGAAAGTTTGGAGATGCGCATCTACCTTGAAGATTGGTTGGATGGTGAGGATAAATTATAAGACAAAGGAGGGCATGACATTACACTTGATGTTTCACTTGAAGCAAATAATGAAAATCAAAGAAATGAATAGATGAAGATGAAGGTGGAGGTGGAACTTGAAGAAAAGTGACGGAGTCAATATATTTTTTATTTTTTGTATATTCAATATTTCAACTATTGTTTTTTTTTGAATTTTTAAAATTATTGTAATTTTTTTCAATTTTATTTAAATTAGTTGTTATTTTTTCAATAATGTAATTTTTTATTTTCAATTTATAATTTTATTATATTTTTTATATTTTATTCTGTTTTCTATATTTCATTCATTCATTGACCATTGTATTGTTCAAACTTAAGAAATAAAATTCCTATTTTTTCATATTTGTTGTCCATTTTGTATTTTGTTAAGTATTTTAAGTATTTTTTCATTTTCTGTTAGATTTTTTATTTTTCCAATTTGTTCCCAGAGCTCAAAGGAATTAAGGAAAGTGAAGTATTTTAGTTTTAGTGTTTACTTAGAAAAAATATAAAAAAATCAAAATGTTAAAAAAAACAAAAAAAAGTTTGGCCCGGTTCAGCTTAGGCCCAAGGCCTGGCCCGTAGCCTAACTTGACATAGGCCAGGCCCACAACACAGTCTGTAGCCCACTCAGCCTAGGCTGGGCCATGAGCCGTATTGGGCTAACCCCTCGAAGTATCACAGGTGAAGAAAGCACGACCCGACTTGGCCCGCGGGCCGGCACGACCCGATTTACGCTTGTAGATGTAGTTCCAAATAAGGGATGAGGTTGTGAGGAGTGAAATTGTGTAATGGGTGATCACATTAGGAGGAGGGTGCAGTTGGTGAATTGTCACGGTAAAGATGGGAGCTTTTAGCTAGGTGGTGCAGGATTTAGGAAAGGTGGCGAGGAATATAATATATCGTTTGAATGGGCTTTAAAGTGGTTTTGTGCTACTAAAGTTCCAACACCAATATGAATAGTATGCTAAAAGCCCTACCTCGTACTGGTAGGATTTTTCATTCATCCAATCAATCTCTAATGGAAGGTTTGAGATGAGCTCTTTATACCTTCCGTACGTCCTCCTATCTTCTTCTTTCTTTTCAAAACACAATATTTCTTAGAAGGGCCCTATCAGCCATTTATCTAGACGAATAAGAAAAACGAGGAGGAAGAGAAAGAAGAAGAAGAAGAAGAGGAAGATGAAGACTAAGGGCCTATTTGTTTGCTATGACGTCTAATGTTTGAAAGTGCAATAATTACATTAAGAGGTTTATTGGTATTGGTGAACTTTTTTTTTCCTTTGAACTCTATATGAAGAGAATGTTTGTTCTGAATTTTGAATTTTTTCAAATACCCATTTTAACCCCATATATAAGAATTTTTGTTTGTGCTTTTTGATAAGTTACTTACTTGAGTAAATGCACTTACCAGGTAAGTGTTTCCCAGGAAATACTTACCCAGGTAAGTGCATTTACCCATGTTCTTTTATTTCCCAAGCAAACAAGACAATGACCATTTTAGCCATAAAAATCAATTATTACAAGGGGCATTTTTGTCCCATTCAAGTGTTGGCAACTTTCCCCCAAGGTGGGAAAGTTATTTATCCACCAAGGAGATGGGTATCATTTACCTGGGTAAGTGATACCCAGGAAAATAAACTTTCCGTGGTCTCCACATAAATATGAAAAAAGATGGGATTCTTGGTCAACGGGAATCAAAATCCCATTGACCAACTTTCCCCTCTCTCAAAATCTAGAAAAAGAACGTCCCCTTAAAGTAATAAAACTTCTCTTAAGAGATAAGAATTAAGAGTAAACGAACAAGCTCTAAGGGTATGTTAATTTTTTGGATTTTGAGATGTGGGAAAGATGGTCAATGGGATTTTGGTTCCCATTGACCAAGAAACGAATGTTCTTTTTTTTTTTTTGAAATTTATGTGGGGATTAGGGAAACTTTATTTTCCTAGGTTAAATAACTTTGTCACATAGGAAGAAAGTTGCCAATACTTGGATGGGACAAAAATGCCCTTTTTAATAATGGACTTTCATGGCTAAACGATCATTGTCTTATTTATTTGGGAAATAAAATAGCATGGGTATATGCACTTACCCAAATAAGTAACTTACCAAAAAGCGAACGGGGCCTTAAATATAGATATCGAATAAAAGTTTTGGGAATGTGGGGGAATTGGGATTATGGGAACCCTAGTCACCTTACATACTTAAGAGTATTTTATAAATTAATATTAAACCTTGTCCCTGCCCTTTCCTAGGTTCAGGGCCAAAAAAAGTTTCCCCGTACCCATTTGAGATCATGGAAAACCTGCCCCATTATCAAAATTGGGCCCTGGTTTTATGGGGGAAAATTGCCATCCATACTAATTACAGAAAATCTTTTGGGAGAATATCGCAACATTAGGAATGTGGAGTAAAGGATATGTTATGATATGGAAGAGGTTTATAAGTAGTTGATACCAACATTGATAGGATAGGAGGAATATATAGTTGAAGGGGGCTGAAAGGGCTAGGAGTAAAGACATGGGTAGAAGCAGCAATAATTGATTTAAGCGCCGATACTTTAACGATGGATATGACATTAAACAGAACAGAATAGAAACAATGGGTTCATGTATCCAACCCCATGTAGTTGGGATAGGGCTTGGATGATGATGATGATGATATAGTAATTAAGTCCTTCATAGGGCAGAGCTGTGGTCATATCAAATAAGACCTTAATTCCTTTTTGTTTCAGCTCTGTATATTAACACTGTTCATTCCTCTCTGTATCAAAATGATATAATTGACTACCTCTTACAATTATTATAAACAGAAACAAGAAATCACCTCTAAGATGATTGATTGCACACGATAACAAAACAATTGATAGCACCACGATTACTAGTACATGTCCCCTTATTTTTCTGATATTTGTTATAAGTTCCTGTCTTCCTGGTGCACTGCTGTTTAGTTGACCTGAGAACATCGTTGCTAATTTTGAAATCATTTTAGTGCTCAGATGTGTAGGTACCCTTTAGCTGAAAAATATGGGAATGCAGTACTGTTGTATGGATTCTCCTAAATGGATGATGTGTCTGAGAGGGCTCTGGCCACTGACAGGCCCATCTTGCCTGGTGTGTGTGTAGATATATATAAAAATGGGAATAGAAAGTATGTTCTTCATAACATAAAACTGTGTAATATCAAGTAAGGCCTTTATTTATTTTGGTTGCAAATGATAATTTAGGCTTTTCCTTTTATCAATATATACAGGCAAAATTATTCCAGGTTTTGAAGATGACTAATTGAGTATGTTTTATGTTGGGGATATAAGAAAGAAAGATTTAAAATTACGAGAAGTGGGGGAGAGTACTCCCCCTAGGACCGTCCCAACCAGCCTGAGGTTCAGTGTGGGGTTCTGCTGAGTCCCTTTCTTTTTAAAGCTCCTGCTTTTCTGCAAGTTAGCCAAGACATCTGCAACCTGGATTCCTCCCGCTAGCTCCCCTGTATATATAGGTTATCAGAATTGAACTCAGCTCATCATAATGCCTTGATGGAATGATACCTCTTGATTATATTATAATGGGACTTCCTACCGCTTCTCTGTTGCACTCAATACCAAGTTTAGAGCTTCCATCAGCCATTAGTCATTGCACATAGACCAAGCTCTTTGTCTATGTAGATTGCATCTCTAGCTGCACATTCTTCAACTATATTGTTGTTCTCCCTAGAAATATTCATGCCTCTTCTCTTCAGATGAATGACACCACAGAAGATTCCTTGCAGTATTGACTCCAGTGACTGTATTACCATTGGCTTCCACAGAAGCATCAAGATATTACTCTTTATTATTGGGTAAAGTACATGAGGGGCTGTAATTCTCTGTTACTTCTTTGAGGTAAAATTGTCTGTTTAGCATGAGAGATTGCATCCTTATCGTGCTGTTACCACTGAAACAGTTATATCATTTGCTGAATATATCCCATATTGGCCTAAGTATATATCATCTTCACTAGTACTATTTTCCATTAGAAAAGCCGGTTGCTTAGGAGTAGACAAAACCATATTTTCATTGCTAAGCATCGAGACAATATCTTCCATGGCTGGTCTATCCATTGGGTTGGCTTGGACACATAAGAGTCCCACATGAATGTACCTTGTTGGTTTGCAAGGGGAATATGTAACATCCAATATTGGATCCAAAAACTCCATGCTTCTGCCAGATTTAAATAGCTTCCATGCCTTAAATGATCACATATTTAGAAATCCATCAATAAAAACATGGTTATAGAAAAAACAAAATCTGAAGACAAGCAGGGATTATTTGCTGGCTTACATGTTCCACAAGGATTAGTGAACAATTTGAATCAATAACATCTGTGCTTCTCTTGCCACTTAGTATCTCTAAGAGTATTACTCCAAAGCTAAAGACATCAGATTTTGAAGAAAAGACACCCTGCCTGACATACTCAGGAGGCATGTAACCACTGCATTAAATGACCCAATAAAAATTTTCAGTATTATTATAAAGAGATAAATTGCAGAAAAGTAAACAACATTTACACCATTGTTTACATGTTCCATTCCATGTTTGTTTGCACTTTGTAGGTAGGAAAGGTGTTTCATGCACTTGATATATATGTCAATCAAAGAGAAATTCTACTTACAATGTCCCAGCTACCCTATTTGTATCTGCTTGGGATTCATTTCCTCCAAAAATTCTTGCCAAGCCGAAATCTGATATTTTAGGATTCATCTGGTTATCCAGTAGAATGTTGCTAGCTTTAAGATCTCTATGAATTACTTTTAATCTTGAGAATTTATGGAGATAAAGAAGCCCTTGAGCAACTCCTTCAATGATGTGGATGCGTCTTTCCCAATTTAGCAGTATTCGTCTAGCAGGATCTGTAACAGATTACATTAGCAATTAGTTATTTGTTCTATTCAGGATGCAACAGCTTAAATTAGCATAATACATTGACATAAACAGATAGAATATAGTATGGAATCTTACATATGCTGCATTGCACTTTGGTTTCAGTTTGGGAAGAGTGCAAATAGGAATGTGTACAGTGCAAAATCTTGTATATAACATTTCTAAACCTTGTATTTGTGCTGTACATCTTTGTATCTGCACTCTCCTCAAAATGAGCCTCAAGGTCGAAAGGATTAAATCTTGCCCTCTCTTTTGGGCTCTAATTTGCGTTACAAAGCATGAAGCTCAAATTTTTCAAAACCACATTATTTGAACCCATTAGTTCATGAACCCTAGATGATCCCACATCCACATGCCAATCATAGGTTTCATCCTTGATAGTCAAGAAGAGGGTTTCACCACATAAACTTGTGGGCTATCAGACCACTTAAAGCAACTATTAGCAATCTGTGACATCTCATGAGACAAGACACTAGCAAGTTTAATTAATTAAATAAATAAATTATATAGACTTTTAGATAAGTGATGACAGACCAAAGAGGTATGAGTCCAAGCTCTTGTTTGGCATATATTCATAGATCAGTATCTTCTCTTCTCTTTCAAGGCAGTACCCTAGAACTTTGACAAGATTCACATGTTGGAGCTTGGCAATAACTGCGATCTCATTTTTAAACTCCTCTGTTCCTTGTGTAGAACTTCTTGAAAGTCTCTTTACTGCTATTTCTTGGCCTTGTGACCAAATTCCCTGAAAGAAAAGACCACATGTGGGTTGTTAATCTCCTTTTCATAGTTTATTAATCAAGATTACTTATTTAGGCTCAGTTTGGAAGGAGTGCAAATACAAATTTGTAGAGTACAAAACCTTGTAATTTGTATTATTTTATATGTATTTGCACTGTACATATTTGTATTTGTACTCCTTCCAAACTGAGCCTTAAGGAAAAATGCAAGTCACTTGTGTGGAAGCAAAATCCAACCTTGTAAACATGTCCAAATCCACCCTTCCCAAGCTTGTTTTCTTCAGAAAAGTTATTTGTAGCAGCAACAATGGAAGCAAAACTAAATACTTGCAACTGATCTAGACCATTTTTCTCGTTGGTCACAATGTTGGCAGATGCCATTCCACCTGTAGAAATTAACCCCTGGCCTCTCTCCTTCCTCTCTGTATCAAAATAATATAATTGGATACAGTTCACAATTATAAATAGTATATATAATTTGTTATGTGAATATGAAAGGAAATATATACCTCTCACTTTGAGCTTTCTCCTCCTGAGGTAATATGATGAGAAGCCAATTACTAACAATAACGAAGCAATTGATACCACCACCACAACTATTAGTACATGTCTTCTGACTCTTTGATCTTTTTCAGTTCCAGGAGTACTTGATCTGCCACTTAGTTGACCTGAGAACATTAGATTTGTTTAATAAGATACTATGGTGTGCACCTGATCTTCCATGCAAGCAATTAATTTCTCATCTTTCTGTGTTTCCTGTAGCATGGGTTTGGGTTTTACAGAAAAAGGGGAAGCTGTGATAAGGGTGTTGAAGTCTGGGTTGGGGGTTTGCATAGACAGACAGGAAGCTAGAGAAAGATAACTGGGACTGCATAGGTGTATGGTTGGGGAGATTGCAGGCGAGGCAGTGCGTTGCTTGAAGATTCAACATTGGGCGGTAGACCCACGATCCAGGCCTGTTCATTATCTGGGGGAAGAGTTCTCCTCATGTTGGAGACAATGGTCTCCTGATTTGACAGAGACTGTATCTTTAATGGTTGGTTATCAGAAGTCTGGAATCAGAATCTGAATGGGTCATTTCGATTTCAACTATTTTGGCTGGGCGGAATTGGAATCACATTCCCATTCTCAATTCCTGTCTGAACCAAACAGACTATGGGAATATACTATTCCTACTCTGATTCTGACCAAACGAACCCTAAGATGAGTTGCCACTGAGACCAACTGCAACTGGATTCGGTTTATGCTATAGCCATGGAATTATGGGAAGTCAATTACTAACTTGCAAATGGTTGACTTACTGGCAAGATCAGAGAGAACCCAGTTGTCATCGTTGGCGACGTGCCAGACAAAGTACCCGAGCAGGTCCTTCTCCTTAGCATATGAAACCTTAGCTGTGATGGCCTCAACATCATCGAAGCCAATCCATATGGATCCAATGTAACAGTAATTGACCACCATCGTTTCATTGTACACAGTCGTGGCTCCCCTGTTCTCTATGAACTCCTTGATGTCTATGTATCTCATGGCTCCATCTTCTGTGACTGCCGCGCCGGCGGTCGGTGCGCCTATGCCGTGCTCCTCAGGATTCGAGAGTGTCCAAGCATAGCCATAGTATGGTAAACCCAGAACTAGTTTTCTTGCTGCCAATCCCTTCTTAATCCATGCCCGGATTCCGAAATCTGTACTGACCTCGCTCGACGGATCATATAAGGCGGCATGTGGCCCGGTGATATTCGATTCTGCCCAAGGTGGTGCGTGGTAGTCGTATGCCATCACATGGACCCAATCCAAATTTCTTTCCATTGAGTCCACTGGGAAGATTGCTGAGTCGAGCCTGGGTGAGTAATGGACTGCTGCAGTCAAGATCAACCGTGGCTCAGTATTGTTCTTTTCCRACTGGGAATTCACCGCGGTTCGCCATTCTTCAAAGAGTGCGCCCATGTTAGTCATGTCGGCATTGGTCTTGGGATTAACCCAGCAGAGGTCTAGGCCATGGAAACCGTACAACCTTGCCATTTTGATGGAGGAGTCGATGAAGGCCTTTCTGGAGGAAGGTTGGCTAACCATGGCGGAGATTAATGCTGAGGAATTGGCGTTTCCACCACCTATGGATAGAAGGGTTACTATGGAAGGGTTTTTCTGTTGGACGGTCCTGGTGAAGGAGGAGAAATAAGGTTGATCAGACGACGAGAGATTGAGCCGGTAGGTCTGAGGGTCAATATCCGCAAATGCACAAATGAGATGAGAGAAGAGAGATGAGTTTATGTCGGAGATGGGGAATTCGCTGGCCGGAAACCAGTACCCACCTCTGATCCAAGTTTGTGCAGCTGAGACGTGCAATTGAATAACGAAGAGAAGAAAGAGAACACCTTTAGACGCCATTTGAGGTCCGCCAACTCTTGCTCAGTATTAGCAAAGCAAATTAGTATAGAAGAACAGACACACAGAGCAGATTATCTGTACGCAATTGACTACTTCTAAAGCCTTTTTCTAGCTTAGACCCACGACGTCTACATCTCTGCCGACGTTCATTCGTCCCAATTCAACGGTTTTGCCTTGGGTCATCAATGGAGGATGATGGAGGGTGATTTGGTCCGACCTCATAACAAGCGGACACGTGGACATGAATTGACATAGGTGACAATTGGGTATAGCCAGCTCGCTACAAAGTGATACTCCACTACCCTAACTAAGGGTTCTTCGAGTAGAGATCATCCCGAACTAAAGGCACCTCGGTACCGGGTCGCGACACCAGTACCCAAACTAATTTAGTTCGGGGAGTACGAGCCTTAGCTCGAGGACATCAGTTCGGGGAGAAACCAGTTCGGGTATACCGATCCGTCCTCAGTATAATCCCGAAAGTCATTCCAACAGTTCCTGAATTCTGTGGGATCATGCCTCGTAACAACTAAGCATTATCTCCCCGACTGATTCGGGCGGAAGTGATTAACCTTATCAACCGATAATGTTATCTCCAATTAACGCAGAAACCGATTCTATCATGGCACTGATCTCGGAACTACTCCGCGAAGCCCGCGAGGACTCCATTATATAAAGGCCCCCCCTCTAGGGGCCCAAGGTACGCGCAATTACTGCTTTCTAGCCTTCTCGTTTACTAAACCACTTTTAGCTCGCAAGTTACTGACTTAAGCATCGGAGCGACCTCGCAGGGTAAGCACCCCCGAGTTCTCTGATTCTTCCTGTGCAGATTCACCAAGTCCGTCGTCTATTGGAAGCCACTTCATCTCCAGCTAGGAGCAGCCAGATTGCGTCGCATCAATTGGCACCGTCTGTGGGAAATGCTTCAAAAAGCCTTTTTCCACAAAGCATTTCATATCCAGCTTCCATGGCATCTTCCAGCAACGCTGGACGCAGCACTGATATGAACACTTCCGAGGGGCAATTCCAGGTCCCAATTGTGTGCATTGGACAATTCACCATACCCCTCTCTGCAGACGGGGTCCCCACACTGAATGTGCCTAAAGTCATTGCACCAGTGAACGCCTCACTCCCTCCTACAGTGGGTACTACCTTCGCAGAGCCCTCTGTTATTCCCCCGGTGGTTGGACAGAATCAACTCGATGACCTAGTACACTGCATGTGGGCTATGCAAGCCCAAATGCAGCAGGTCCATCAATTTCAGTTGTATTAGCAACAAGTCCTCCACCATGTTTATCAGCAGCAGTTCCCTCCACTGCCGTAGAATCAACAGCCAGTTCCACCTCGGCATCCGGTTGCGCAGCAAACCAAGCCTCACCGCAAGAGCGAACGCCCCCCTCGCCGGGGAGAGACCTCCCAAATCCAGAACCCTCTGGGGAGTCAAGTCTCGTCCCGCGGCAGGAGGGAGAGACAGATTACTCCTCCCACCTCGCAACAAGTAAATAGGTCGGGAGACACTCAACTCACCAGGCCCGCTTCACCTCGACCTTCACAGTTCGAAGTTCCACTCGTGGAAAACCGGTTTGGAGCTCTAGCCGCGGACTCTAGACAAGGCCCTTCGGTCCACAGTAGTCATCGCTAGTAGTCTAAGCAGCTACTAGTGGGAACGGTGCCTGACAATACTGAAGCTAGCAGCACTAATGCGAAGCCAGTAAAGAAGTAGCAAAGGTGACGTCGCAGAGCTCGCCGATCAACAATCCAGAACTTGCCCGAACTACACAAAGGAAAAGAAGAGGCGAGCTCGGGGACTGTGAAGACCACTCCGCTCCTTTCTGTGTCGTCTCCTCTATCTCTCGAACTCTTGGCCACCCCAATGCCAAAGGATTTCAAGGTACCTCCCTTAGACAAATATGATGGATCGTTCGATCAAAACGACCATGTAGATTCATTTCAATCTCAGATGCACCTGGCCGGAGCAGATGAATCCTGCATGTGCGTTGCTTTCTCCCCAACTTTCAAGGGGGTAGCTCGCACATGGTATAGAAACCTTGCGCCCGAGACAATTAAGAGTTGGGCGCAGTTCGTGCAGACCTTCACCTCGCACTTCATCACTAGTAAGAGGTGTTCGAAGTCGCAGGAGAGCCTGCTCGGAATAGTCTAGAGGGAGGGAGAATGTATCCGGAGCTACATCAAGAGATTCAATAATGCATGCTTACAGATCCCGACCTAGATCCCGCTGTAAGACTTACAACTGTAAAGAGAGGGATCACCCACAAGGAATTCAAGTGGCACATAGTCGCCAACAAACCCAAAGATGTCACTGAGTTCCTCAAGCTCGCCGACCAGTTCATCGGAACAGAGGAAGAGATGAACCAGAAGAGTGAGAATTCACCAGAGAAGAGAAAAAGAGAAGGTGAGACCTCAACTAACGATGACAACAAGAGAAAGAAGGATGAGCCAGTTCGAGGAGGAAAACCAGATTAGCCTTTCCGAACTCCTCCAGTTGAAAGAACAAATTACACTCCCTTGAACGCGAAGCGAGCAGAAATCCTCATGGCAATCAAGGACACTTCTTACGTGAAGTGGCCACCCCGGATGAGAGGAGATCCAAACACAAGAAACAGAAATGTATACTGCCACTTTCACAAAGATCACGGTCATAGCACAAAAAATTGTAAGATCCTCCACGACGAGATAAAAGAACTCATCCATCGCGGATATCAAAAAAAATTTGTATTAAATGATAATAAAAGTTAAACAGGTCGGTAGGGGGAGCAAAGTAGAGATGCTCCCAAATTCAGCAATAGGCAAAATGAGCAGCCATAGAGACAGTTGCCCGAAGAGAGGCCAGTTTGAGGAGTAATACAAATGATCACCGGCGGGTCAATTGTCACGGGCTGCACTTCAGCCGCAGCGAAAACATCAGCTCGCGAGATAGAAAGAGAAGAACAAAATCCTTCGAAGCGGCCGAGGTTAGAAGAGCCTATTTTCTTCATCGAGGATGACGCATGCGGAGTCCAGTACCCCCACGATGACGCGCTCGTCATAAAGATAAGAATTAATGACTTCGAGGTGAAGCGCGTCCTTATCGACTCCGGCAGCTCGGCGGACATACTCTTCAAGGATACTTTCGACAAACTACAGCTCCAAGAGAGCGACATCAAGCCCGCGAACACTCCCTTTGTAGGCTTCAGCGGAGAGGAAGTCAGGCCCCTGGGAAGAGTTACAGTACTTGTGGAGGTCAGTACCTGGCCTAGCATAGTGAGATTCGACCACACTTTCTTAGTGGTTGCAACTCCCTCCCCGTACAACGCCGTAATAGGTCGGCCTATCACCCACACTCTACGCGTAGTGGTGTCCACCTATTACTTGGCTATGAAGTTCCCCACGGACTTCGGAGTTGGGGTAGCGCGAGGTGACCAGCTCGAGTCTCGAAAATGCTATGTCGCCGCCCTCAAAGGGAAAGCCAAGGCAGTAGACGACCTCGAGTTGGAGCGACCTGTGGAGCACACCGAAGAGCGAGCTACACCTATAGAAGAAACGGTCTCTGTACCCACTTCAATATAAGATCCGGCCAGGACTCTCCAAATCGGCGCTTCGATTGAGGAGCCTCTACGATCTCAGTTGGTAAGCTTCTTACTTCAAAACTTAGATGTTTTTGCATGGTCTGCGGCAGAGATGCCCGCTCTTCGGTGTGCCCCGTTAGAATAATCACTCACAAGTTGAACACTGATCCTATAGTTAGGCCCGTTAGACAGAAGAATCACAACTTAGCCCCAGAGCGCTGGAGAATAGTTGACGAGGAGGTCGGGAAACTCCTTGCAACCGATTTCATCAGGGAGGTCCATTACCCGAGCTGGGTGGCTAACCCCGTTCTGGTAAAAAAGGCCAACGGTAAGTGCCGCATGTGCATCGACTATACCGACCTGAATCGAGCTTGCCCAAAGGACTGCTTCCCACTTCCCAAAATCGACTGTTTGGTGGACGCGGCCTCAGGGCACGAGTTACTGAGCTTTCTGGATGTTTATTTGGGCTACAACCAGATTAGGATGAACCCTGCCAATGAGGAAAAAACGGCCTTCATAACTGAGCTCGACCTGTACTGTTACAAGGTCATGCCCTTCGAACTTAAAAATGCTGGTGCAACATTTCAAAGACTTGTAAACCGACTGTTTGAGCCATTGATCGGCAAAAAAGTAGAGTGTTATGTAGACGACATGGTCGTCAAAACTCAATTTTCAAATGATTTAATAAAAGACTTGTATTGTGTTTTTCAAATTTTGCACAAGTATAATATGAAATTGAATCCCAATAAATGCGTCTTCGGTGTCACTTCGGGTAAGTTCCTGGGTTACATCATTAACCGACGCGGTATCGAGGCCAACCCTGAGAAAATTAAGGCTATCCTAGACATGAGACCGCCCCGTAAATTGAAAGAGGTTCAAAGGTTGAACGGTCATATCGCCGCCCTGAGCCGTTTCATGTCTAAATTAACAGATCACTGCTTGCCTTTCTTCAAGGCAATCAAAAGAAGCAGACTTCGAATGAACCGAAGAGTGCCAGCTTGCTTTCGACGAGATCAAAAGGTACCTCGCCAGCATACCAGTTTTGACCCAACTTGAGGAGGGAGAGATTTTGAAGCTGTACCTCTCCACGAGTGACGAGGTAGTCAGCTCGGTACTGATAAAAGAAGTAGATCGGGTCCAATGACCCATCTACTATGTTAGCAAAGTTTTTCCGAACGCAGAAACGAGATATCCAGAAATTGAAAAGTTGGCGTACGCGCTAGTCATCGCAGCTCGGAAGCTTCGGCCATACTTCCAGGCTCATACCATCGTCGTCCTCACCAACAAACCTCGAAGGCAAGTCTTGCTCAAGCTTGAGGTTTCCGGTAGATTGATGAAGTGGGCCATTGGACTTAACGAGTACGACATCCAGTACGAGCCCCGAACTGCTATCAAGGCCYAAGACTTAGCCGACTTTTTGGCGGAATGTACCTTTAGCGCTGTAGTCCCTGAGTTGATCGAGCCCGAGCACGGAGAAGCTTCAACCAGTGCGGCACCTCTCCTGATTAGAACGAACCCTACGTGG